GGGAACGCATCGGGGGCGGTGATTGGTGTCCAACGACAGTCTTCCGTGCAGGGTGGGGCGGTGTGCCGGTGCCTGTTCCCCAGTCGACTTCCTCGTCCGTGGGGGACGCATCGGGGGCGGTGACTGGTGTCCAACGACAGTCTTCCGTGCAGGGTGGGGGCGATGTGCCGGTGCCTGTTCCAGTGGGCTCACTCAGTTTATCGCGTTGAGTTGTTTTTGGGGTTCATTTACAGTCTATTGCACGGGTTTCCAATAGAAGAGCTTCTGTTAGAATTGGCAGTGAGCGCACCGTATTTTTGCTATTATTTACGGCTGGATAGAGACGTTTGTTTTATTGTTTTTTTTTGTGTGTGCTTAGGTTACACGATGCAGCTCTGCATTAGTTCAATGGGTGTAGCGTCTTTACTTCTGCAAGTACAAAATAGCCGTTGTAAGGTGACTTACGAAGAAGGATTGAGGAAAAAAAATCGAATGAATTGGGTATTTTGCGTAGACTGGCTTCCAAAGTTGGAAGTGCGATGCATTGGGCCCTTTTTTTCCCTTATTTAATTAGCCTTGTTGGCTTTTTTCCCCCCGCTCTCTGCGTCGAGAGTTGTGCCGTCAAGGGTTGTATTTGTGACTGCTGCACCTGCCTTTTTCCTGCTTGACTGAGACCATAATAAGAGAGTGGTCGTAATTCAGTGTTGCAATGACAACGTCAGTTTCTTTGTGTGTTTGCTGTTATATATATATATATCGTATCCTGTTCTCGTTGCCGTGATTGCCTGTCGTAGTTAAGTGACTTCCTGCCACAAGGTGTGCTCCAAGTGTTGATGTGCTGTGGCCGCGCATGGACGCCGTAGCGCACGAACGCAAGGATGACGTCACAGAGAGTGATAGTTCTGGGAGACGCCGCGCTGATGACGACGAGACCACGACAACGTCTTTTCGCTACTCTACCGCCCTTGAAGGCGAGAGTGGGGACTTTAATCTGGACGAGGAGCCCCCTTTCCCCGTAAGATCGTATACTGGCAGCCGGGGTGAGTTTCTTCACCTTTTTCGTCCGCTTAGTAACGTAGGGGAAGTTTCGATTCACTACTACTCCCCGTGGACTGTCCGCGGCGATGACGACTGTTCACTCGTGGCTCATGTCGAGGTGGACGATGAGGAGAAGGAGTTCACGTTGGGCGTCTGCGGCGCTACAGAGCGCGTTGTGGGTACCTTCCTGCAGTACTTTGCGAGTGGGCAAACGATGCACCCCATTGGGACGCAGGAGGTGCGGAGGTTCTGCATGTGCCCCTGGCATCGGCGAGCAGTTCTTCTGGCTTCTTTGGACGATCGAATTACCTCGTGTGTTCAGCTTCCATCGGCGGAGTCCTGTCGTCTGAGGAATGAGAGTGTAAGAGGCAATGACGAAGCAGCGCAACGAGCACAGCCTTCGGAGTCTGAACCCGCCATGAGCGATGTGGACGTGTGGCGTGTTGTAGTGGAGCACAAGGGTCGGGGATTTGTGCGCTTTTACGCCGTGGAGCGGCGCAAAGGCGCATGCTACTGTGACGCCCCTTTATCTCAGCTCAACTGAAGCGTAGCGCGTAAACTTATGTGTCTCCTCGCGTGATATTAAAGAGCGCTGTTGCGAAATTTATCTGCATGTTCACACCATTTTTCGATAGTTTTACTACTACTTCTTGCTTTGCTGTTCTTGTTGCGTTGAGGCAGTAGCATATATATATATATTTATATATTTATATATATACATATAATACGTTTCTTTTGTGAATAGCATCGTGGGAAGTGCTTGGGTGTGAGAAAAGGGTACAACCAGAGGAAGGCGAGTGGCTGCAGAGGCGAGAATGAGACGTGCTTTAGTCTTTTCTGGTCAGGGAGCTCATCGCCAGGGTATGTCCATGGAATACCTGCGCGTCCCTGCGGTTGCTCGACTCTGGGAACGAATGAAATGCCGCATGGAGCAAAACTATGGCGTCCCTCTTCAGGAAATTATTACGGAGAACCCACAAAAAATATATGTGCTCGAGGACGCCCTGGACGTAGATAAAATTTGTAAGCGAAGTTGTTTTGAGGATAGAAACATCGCCGAGTCATTTCCGCGTCGAAAGGTTGTGTCATGTCCACGGGGTGGCGTCATGTCGCTGACATTTTTAACACAACCGTGCATCTTGGCGGCGCAGATGATGGCGCTCGAGTACCTCCGTGAGACATGTGGGTACTCGGTTGAGGCTGCCTCTGTCATTGCTGGTCACAGTCTTGGTGAGTTTTCGGCGTTGTGTGCGTTAGGTGTTTTTCCGCCGGAGGTCGCTGTTGATCTCGTCTACAAGCGTGGTGCCCTGATGGAGTACACCCTTGATCACTTCTCTCCAAACCGTGACAACTACGTGATGTACGCTTGTCACCCAGTGCGGGCAAAGCTTTGCGCAGACGACCCAGATGTTGCGGTAGATCACTTTCACATACTTGTGGAGCTCGTGGCTCGGTCTCTTTCCACCACGACCTCGTTCGTGGAGGTTGTCAACTACAACATTGACCGCGAGCAGTACATCGTTGCGGGAGATCGGCTGGGGATGTCGGCCCTTGGAAAGTGCCTTGACCCGCAGTTTAGAGCGAGCGTCTGTGGTCCATCGTCCTCGCTTGACCGCATTGCCCGCACGGCGGTGGCGTCAGTGTGGGAGGACAAAAAGGATGGCGTGACGATGGACCCCAACAAGGGACCCTCACCGGATTTTGTAACCTCGTCGGTGAAGAAGTACGGGGTACGCTCGACGTATCGTCGCTTTATGCGAGGCCCTGACGATGGCTACACGCCGTCACTCGAGGAACTCACGCAACTCACCCTCCAGGAGGACGGCCGGAGCGGGCTGAAGAAAAAGTCGTGGTTTATCCCTATTCCTGTAAATGTTCCGTTTCACAGCAGCCGACTTCGTCGGGCGGCGGATCTTTTCTTGCCTGTCGTGTGGGATGCGATGCCGGAGGAAGACTTGCTGCGCTCCTTGTTGGGGTTGGATGCAAAATCCGTTACGGACTCCCTTTCGGCTTCTTCCGCTGCAACAGGGGAGGGGCGCCCTGTGTGGTTGACGAACCTCACAGGCACCGCGTTTCGACCCATGGATCCCAAGTTTCAGAGTCATGCGCTGGAGATGATGCAGTCGATGAATGTGGGCGAGATTCGTCACCATGGCCGCTACCAAACCGACTTGGTAGAGAAGGCCTTTAAAAATGGCGTGGAGCAGAATAGCGTACGTGGGATGTGTGCGGCCGTGCTTGCTGCCCAGATGGCGCATCCTGTGCAGTGGATTGATCTCATGGATGCCGCCGTCATCGACGGAGGTGTTCGCGAGGTACATGAAATTGCACCGGTGCGAACGACAGCCGAGATGTTTAAGCGGACCATCTTTCGTGAACCCGGTGAGGGCGGCGGAGCTGCGCTGGACGTGGTCACTCGTTGCCTCCCCTCAGAGGAACGTTTTTTGTGAAGCAGCCACGAAGGTAGGGATGATTGCTGCTGCAGCCTTATTTTTTTTTTTTTTACTTTATATCTTTTTTTTTTGTATTCTGAGAGGGGGTTTTCCCTGTTGGAACCGGTGCCTCATTCATGATTCGCCAGAAGCATAATAAATTTAATTTTTTTTTTTTCTTGTTGGCCGCTTCAGAGCAGTTTACCAACCCACTCACACTGTTTTCTTGACCACGGTGGATCGCTTGCCTCCGGTGTGTGTGTTTTTTTTTTTTCATCGCCACGGCGGAGCAGTATCCTCTGAGAGTGCGTGGGAGTATCGCGGATTTTTCCTCTTCCTCCTCCTTCTTCTTTGCCTTATGTTGCCGCTGTCGTGAATAGCGAATGTTTCGTCTGCGGACACTTCGACCTGGTTGCGTGGGACCACTCCGCCTGGCTGGGGCGCGTCTACTTTGGTGGGGTTACAAGGAAAATGAACTCCACCGACTAGCTCGTCAGCGGCCGTGGTGGGAAAATGCGGCGATTTTTGCCGGGCTTCTCTGCTTTATTCAACTCACTAGTTTATGCTACTATTTTGGCAACCGCCTGTACCATGCCTGGAGGCCGTCTGGCAATAATCTCTACGTTAATAAGGCGATGGATACGAAGGTTTTTGCGCGTCCTGACTTGTCTGTGGCGGCGGTGCGCATGGTTATTCATCACGTGCTCTCAGGCACCCAGACGCCATTTGGAGCCCCCATGGTGTATCCGGAATACATGCGCCCCGAGGCAGAGGAGCTAATGAAGTTTGTCTTTGAGTTGCACCGTGAGCAGCCCATGTTCTCCATTCCTGATCTCTGGGCGATGCTGTCCGCAAAGGCACTTGCGCGCCTGGGTGGGCCAAACATTTCTGTGCGTCGCGGCAGACCAAACCCCCCGGAAGACTTCACAATGGAGGAGCTTCTGGTCGAGACACGCTCGCTCGTGCCGGAGGGAAAACGCGACGTACTCGCAATGAAGCGGTTGCTTGCGGGGCAAGGGTTTTCTGTAGAGGAGATTGTTGGCATGGTTGGTGGGATTCGGACGCTGGGCTTTCATGAAAGTTCAGGATTTCACACACAAGAGGAGGTGAAGCCACAGATGCGCCGACACCCAAGATTGATGGGACCGCAGGAGGACGCTTTTCACCTTCCCGAGACGGTGGAAAAGTGCACTTTAGACCCCTACGTCTTTGGTGGAGAATATTTTGATCTTCTCTTGGATTATAACTGGATGCAGCGAAAACGTATTGGTTGGCGGAGTGGCCCCTTTCGCTGCGATGAGAAGTATCGCAAACGTGACATAACACTTCTGGACCCTTTTTCAGAGCAAGCCGTGATGCGGGAGCGGAAACGTCTGCAGGCGCAAGAACAGGCACGGGAGGCGGTGGAGCGGGCGGCTCAGAAGCGAGAGCAGGTCCGTGTCGCTGAGGAGGAAGAATCCGAGATGGGGCGTGCCGGTGAGGCGCAGTTCATTCCTGGCGTGGAAACGCAGGAAACTGTGGAGGATGACAGTGCCGACGCCGTTGGTTCGGTGGTGGTGCCGGAGTTCAAAAGTCCCTGCTCAAGTGTATCGATGCGTGAGATGGACATGATGTTGCTGGACGACGCACTCTTGACTGGGTGGCTGCACCGCTTTAGCGCAAATGAGATTCGTTTCTACACCGTCTTTGGTGGCGTCATGGAGAAGATTCAGGCCCAGGGCTACAACCTTAACTCTCTTTACATTTCGGCGTGACGGCCTTTGGTGTGTTGGTTCATTTGTTGTTCTCACTTTTTTGTGTCACGCGCTCTGAGACGCCCGACTCACAGCGAGAGTGTTCCGGACTCTCGCTCTAGTTTACTTCATTGCATCGCTGCGTCCCTTCGACTCATAGTTTTTGTTGTTGTTGTTGCGTTTCACTGTTCCTTCTTTTGCTGCCCCGACGTGTTAACAACGCCGCTGAACCTGGTGACTGGTGCGCCGCTCACGACTGTCGTGGAGAAGGGGGAGTCATGAGTGAGTCACACCAAGAAGGTAAGACAAGAACAGTGGCGGCGGCGGCGGCGGCCAACGTTGACGGCTATTTGCGCAATGCGTCAAAGCGGCTTCGCGTCCCCAGTGCAACAGGCGGGCGGGGCACGCGGCGGAAGTTGGCGATGGTGACCGCGGCGAATGTGGACCGATCTCCGCAGCCAGTGGCCGCGGCGAACGCACCTGAGGCGGTCGACGTGGATGACGAGTGGGATGAGGTGGTGCTGCCGAACGCCGCCGCTGCGGCGGTGGCGAAGGATGAGGTGAAGACGACGAAGGAGGAGGAGGGGCGCGAAGTGCCCAAAGTGGATGCCGCCAAGGCCGCCCCGGGCGGTGGCAGCGTCAAGACGGAGATCTTGCAGGTGGAGGACGGCGAGGAGGGAGGAGACGCTAGCGACCCCAGCGCCCAGTCGTTGATGCAGGGCACACGGCCACCATTGTCAGGCACATCGATGCAGCGATGGAGGCGAAATGACCCCTCCTACGAACGCATGCTCGAGCAGCAGCAACTTCTCGCGGCACAACGACGCTCGGAACGAATTCGACGTGCAGCAGAAGGCATGTGCGTTTTAATTTTTGCTCTACAACGCGCCAAGATACTGGTTAAAGAATCCCTTCACCCGCAGCTCTTGCGGAGACTGCTACGCGTAAGCATTGCTGAGGGCGATGTTGCAAAGTCCTTTCCTTTGTTGCGTGCTGTGCAGCGAGCCAAGGAGAGTTATCAACGAGCCCTTAACCCTCTAGTGAGAAGGCCCGCCTTGTCGCCCTGTTGGGTTACTGTGGGTAAGGACACAGTCGGGAATTATACCTCTAGCTCCATCATGGCGTTGCTCACCGGCATCACTTCGGTCTTCACTCTTGGGAGCGTGATAGATGCCACCGCCCTCTCGAATTGGGCGGCTCCCGTTTCCTCTGGGCATCTCTTCAGGCTTTTGTCAAGCTCGCGACGGTTGCGTACCTCCGCCGACGTCAAGTTGAGCCTGTCGCACTCGTTGTACTTCTGCGTCATATTTCTTGCTCTTGCCAGCGTATCGGGTATGTCGTGTCGACTGGTGGTGGCGATGAAAAAGGAACGCGAGCGACAGAGTTCTGTGGCGACGGAAACTAGTGATGCTCCGGCAAAACCGGCGCCGATGACGCTGTTTGTGTCGCGTGCAAAGCGGCCGCGAAACGAGGGGGCGGCGGAGGGAGACCGTGCGTCCCAAAAGCTACCATCGTCATGCTTCTGGGTGGAGGTCTGGTGCCCGCAACGTGAGAGCTTCATCGCCGTCAATCCGTGTGGGGGGTGCACCGCGCTCTGGGGAGCCCCGTATACGTTTTCGGTGGGCGGCGACGTCGCCATGGATGTGACGCCGAGGTACTCCACGAAATACAGCAGCGCATTTTTGTATCGCCGGGGCCGCTGTGATTCCTACCGCTTCTTCTGGAAGCATCTGGGGTGGAACGACAACAGAGAAGCCTCTGAGGTCATACTCGACGCCTTCCGTAAGGACATGACACAAACCACGCGGGCTCAATTGGAGCGAGAGCGCAAGCAGCTCCATTCTCTTGCGTACGCTGAGGAAATACCAAAGACGTTGACGGCGTTGCAGAAACATCCCTTGTTTGTTATTGAGAGTGAGCTGGCGCGGCACGAGGGCGTGTATCCGAAGGACAAGACAACGATTGTTGGGAGTGTGAAGGGTCACATGGTGTACAAGCGATCTGCCGTTGTCAATTTGCGTAGCCGCGACGGATGGCTTCGTGTGGGACGTTGTGTAATAAGCGAGGAGGAGCTCCCATACAAGGTAGTGCCCCCGCCAGCCTCACGTCCCTTTGCTGCCTCTTCTAGTTTCTTTGGTGTATGGCAGACGAAACTGTTTGAACCCAGTCCCCTGCGTGGTGACGGGTCGCTGCCTTTGCACGGCAAAACACGCTGGTATGTGCTTCTCGGTAGGCCTGTGCCAGAAGGACTAGTGCATATTCAGCGACCCAATATTGCCCGAGTGTCTCGTCGAATGGACATCGAATTTGGGCTTGCTGTCATGGGATTTCAGCGGCGCCGTCTAGAGGAGTGCCGGTACGCACACTGGGAAGCTGTCATTGACGGTATTGTTGTGAAGGAGGTGGATGCGGCGAATCTTCTGCACGCGTACGATGACTGGAGGCGTTTGACGGAAGAACAGGAGGCCGCAAAACGACGTCAGCGAGCGAATCGGTGGTGGCTACATTTTGCGCAGCGAATGCTGGCGATGCGGCGCGTCCGTGAGCAGTACTTGGATGGTGCGGTGCATGGGTCTCTGCCTCTGCGTTGAGTCGAGTTTTTTTTTGTTGTTGTGTTGCCCCTTTGCTGCTGGCACTTCATTGAGTTTTTTTTTGTTATTATTACTGCCGCCGCTGGGGGGCGGATGAATTCTGCGTCCCACGCCGCACTCAGGCGGGTCCCAGCGAAAATACCTCTTCTCGGGGAGCGACGTGCGCCGTGACTCATTGTTTCTTTTCTTGGTGCCTTTTATCACAATCGAGGAGGCGAAGGAAGAAGAGTGTGGAGGGTAAGTGCGGGAGGCGGCATCCGCGACGATGCGCACAACTCCGTATCTTGGCGGCGGTGCACGCGCTCCCACAAATAATCTCCCGCCGTTTACAGGCGTTTCTCCCCGTGTTTCTGCACGCACCGTGGCCTCCCATCGCGGCGAGTACGTCTCCATTGTATTGAAGCCCACGGCGCTGAATGCGCAGCACGGCTCCCTGGAGGCGCAATGCGTCGCGACGGATGAACCGGTGGAAATCATGGGGCTCCCTAGCGGGGCGGAGGTGGCGCAGGTGAACGAGTTTGTGTGCTACGTGAACCCCAGCAACGGCCAGCTGGAGTACTTCCAGCACGGCACGTACAATGACGAGTACGACGTGGAGACGTATCGCAAGCTGCTGGATCTCTGCCCCAAATTCCCACAGCTTTTTTAACGAACGACCTCGCCGCCGCCGCTGCTGATTGTGAAGCGAACTGTGGTGTGGCGTCTGCACAGAGGCCATAGAAGGCATTAAGAAAAAAGAGAGTAAGAAGGAAAAAAAAAGGGGGGGGGAGGCTGGGGAAGGCCATAAATACCAGAAACCTCCACCGGTGTGAGCGGCGTGGTGGCGTCATGTGCGTGCTTTTGCTAGGAGGCAGCAAATATAGGCGAGGGAAAAGGCGAAGGAAAGGAGCCAGTGAGAATGCTTTTCATCACGTGGGTTGCAGACTGGGCAGCAATGAATCAGAAGAGTGACATGAAATAAAACAAAGAAGGGGGAGGGTTCCTCTCTATCTACCTGCGTTTTTGCGTTTGTTCACGCCGCCTCCGCAAATTTCCCCCGTGGCCGTCACTGGCGCATTTTTCCTTCCTCTTCTGTTTTGCCTCGACGTCCCCAAGCGGCACCTTTTCCGTGGGTGCACTGATGAAAGTGTAGGCCCGTGATAGAAAGGCATATCGATCCATCTCATTCCTGTTGCTTCTCACCGAAGTTACACACACACACACACACACACACACACACACACACACATTATTGTTTTTGTTTTTGCCATGGATGCAACATCGCACGCTTTTCTAGGCGCGTGCCCCTTTCGAAGCCACGAGAACCCGTACGAACAGACGAAGACCATCTGGTCCAACTGGGCGGGGCAGAAGTCGGAGACCGTCGCGGATCCGCTCCCTTTGACGTGTTCGCAACCGATTCCCTTGGCGCTTCTCCAGCAGTGGAAGTATTACTTTGCTTTCTGCAGTGGCATTGTAGCCCAAAAAGTGGATTGGCGTGACGTGTTTGTTTACATGAGTGATGCCTCACCAGCTGCAACGTTGCCTCTCTCGCTTGACTCCTCCAGCGCGGCCACGGCAGCAATGATGGAAGGGGCCGCAGACCATGTTAGGTGTGATAAGAAAAACCCATTGTCCGCGACAGCGTCTGCGTGCCGACGTTCTGTGATGTTTTTAATGAATAAACTAGCGGGCGATTGTGAAAGACGTTTTGGAGCATGTGCATTGCGTTTCCATCATCAATGGCTTCTGCGATGGACCAAAATGTTGGCGCAGTGCATCACTTGGCGTTTGTCCCATGTCTCCAAGAAAGGAGAGTCCGTGCCACTGAAGGAACTGCGGTGCTATCGCTTTGTTTTTGCTTCCAGAGCAAAGGAGGTTCTTGGGGCAGAGGCTTACGTCCGGGTACTACTTGAACACTTGGAAGCGGAGGAGAAGAAGGAACTACAGAATTCATGCAGTGCTGAAGATGTTGCCAGTCTCTCTCTTACCCAGACTGCTGCCTTAACTTTAACACTTACTATGACGTTCACGCCTCTGCGTGTTACTTTTCTTTCACTAGCGCAGTGTTTTCCTGCCCTGTCGGCACGTGCCCTGGAGTCACTCTGGGCAGACGATTTATGCATTCCATGCAATGTTTTGAATCCACACCGTATGCCGGAGCAGGTACGTCGCCGTGTGGTGGCGTCTTTAAATGATACACATGGTGATATTGACGGCAAGTCCGCTTTAGCTGGAAGTGGTGGTTGCCGAATACACTCCGCCACATTGGGGGTAGTCTTGGAAGATGGCAATCCGGTGAGGAGGGGAAGTGGGACAAATCCCATCTTGGGGATTGTTGCGCCTGAAGCTGGGCCTCTGCAATTGGTGAAGCCCCACCAGTTGCCTAGCGTGGTATATTTACTTGAAACTGTCGGATATGTGATGCTGACAAAGCTACGTTGTTCTTTGGTGGAGAAGTGTTACTACGCACTTCCCTTCCTTGCCGATTTTGTCGCCCTGGGAGCACTACTTAAAAAGGCACTGCTTTCCCTTGCAGGGCCCTCGGCAGCTTCGGCTTCAACACTCTCCCAAGCAGGGAGCTTCACCGAGGCATTAAGCATGGGCTTGACGCCGATGCTACTTCAAGCTCTATTAGAAGCCACAGAGGATTTGTACGCCAGGGCAGTGGATGGCATTCTCAATGGCTATTCAAGCAAGACGATGAAGCATGTCGTGGAATTTTGTGGTCGCAGCGGAACCGACGTAGTGTCTCGAGCGGTAGTGGGCGTTCTGGAGAGAGTTGTGGAGCCGACCCTCGAGGTCTTGCTTCTCCTTTTTGGCCATGATTTCTCGTCAAAAGATGACTGGCACCTTGTCGACTTCGTTGTTAACATGCTTAAGGCCGTGCTGAATGAAAAGATGGAGGAGATGGGAAGCCGGTGCAGGAGTGCCCCTCTTGCCTCGCTGCAGTGTCATGCGGATCATGCCTTGCTGATTAACTACATCGACGAGCACCCCTTGCTACAACAACGTGCCTCCGTAATGTAAAATCATTGTTATTATTATTTTATTTCTTGTCCGAATCCTACGTTTTCCTCCTCGTCAGTGGAGAAATGAAAGGGTGTGTGTGGGGGGGGGAGGGAAGGAAAGAGTATATATAATATATGCATACATATATATTTCCCCATTTTTTTTTTGAAGGGCACCGAGGCCAAACGTCCGTAACGACAACAGCAGTGTCTAGGGGAATACCACCGATGAGCAATTTGACTTGGGTTGGTTGCTGCAATTCTTCGCTCATGAAGTGGATGAAGTTGATGATCGATATTAATACGCGTTTTTTCTTTCTCTTGTATTCTCCCACTTTTTTTTCTTTTTGTTTTATCATGCCTCGGCCTGATCTTGTGGCTTTTGTTGTTTGTTTTGTCCTCCTCTTTTGGAAGCGTCATGCTGCGGCTCTGCCTACGTCAACTTTGCCGCGCCCCCGCCCCCCGGGCGGGCGAGTCCGTCGGTGCCTGCCTGACGAGCTCTTCGCACTGCGATGGGGAACCGGCGTTGTTGGCGCGGCTGCTTGCGCCGTTTGTCCCTTTCACGTTCACTGCCCTCACGCAAATCAGTCGTGGCGTCGATGGAGAGCTGATGGAGAGAGTGGCTGAGGCGGGGGGCCTGCGAAGCCTCCTCGCCAGTCACCCGGAGTTGTTTTCCGTCTCCACGGTGGGCAGCGTCTACGTGGCACGACGCCTTCGCCGCTGCCGCGCGGCGCCCACGTCTTCCGTCGACGGCGCCGCTCCCCGCTGTTGCCAGGAGGAAGCCGACACCCAACCAGCGGAGCAACAGTTGCAGAGAAGGGGGGCCGTTGATTCATTCCCAAAAATAGAGCGTGTCCCGTTGGAGGTTTTTCGCCTGTTTCCTACCTTCTTTGTGCCCACCGAGGCGTTACTGACGCAACTCCGTGGGGCACCTCCATTGACGCCGTCAAACTCCGCAAGCAACGGGACGTTGGCTTCCGACGTAGACCCCAATACGGTTCCCGAGGCCTTTGAACACTCGCTTATCGAGAAATACAAGGAGTTTCTCGACGTTGTCGTAGTGAAGGACACAAATGTGGAGGGTGGAGGGGCGCAAAGTAAAGGCTTTCTGCGCCTTCGGCGGGTGTTTGCCGCACGTGCCGCGTCGTATGAAGCGGAGCAACTGGAACGTGCAGGAAGCCATGAGGAATGCATCAGTCACATTATGGAGCCATACAGAGTGGAGGAATATGAACAATACCGTGTGGCTCGCCTGATTCCTGTGGCGGAAAAGCTTGTCCCCATCTCTGTCACGATGCAACACGAGGCCGCGGCGTTACTTCCGGAGGGACGGTGTTTAATTCACGTACTTGTGTCAGCGCCGGAGCTCTTCCAAGTGCAGAATACGCCAGAGCTGTCCGTTCGCTTTATCCTTGACTCCCGCTTCCGGCCGAAAATGAAGTACACGAAAGCCGAAGTTGAAAGACAGTTGGCCGAGATTAAGGAATCTCGTGTGAAGAATGGTCTAAAAATGCCAATAGACCGAAAAAAAAGGCGGGCTTTAACACGACAACTGCAGTTTTGCGTCAACCCCACACCGTACCTTGACGAACGTGTTTGGGCCTACGCACTGCTTGATGTGCTGCCGACGGACGGCCCGCTCTTGTTGAGTCATGCCCTATCCGGTCTTCCACGCGAAATGGTGGCTTGCGCCCCACCAAACATGCATCGTCTCTATTCCGAGTATAAGCATCTGTTTCTTCTTGTTCAGGGGGACCGCGAGAGAATGCTGCAGCGTGCGGATGTTCCCGAACCTGAGCAGCGTCCCGTGTCAAGTGTTGACACGGAAGAAATACTGTTGGAGATATACAATCAGTACCCTCGCCGTAGGCATCCTAACTCTGGTACTTGTCTTGGACGTTGTATGTATTCTATGCCAGCGCTGCTCCGCGCGCGGTTGCGCCAGTTGGACTTTGTAGAGGATGTACTGCGTAAGCATCCTGACAAGGTAGAGGTGCTCGGCGTGCTTGACGAGGAACTCGCGAGGGGTGAACATTTTCTAGTTAATCGACCACAGATGCTGCAGCTATTTCGTTTCGTTGGGGAGTATCAGACGGAGTTGGTCCGGCGATATGAGGCATTGTGTGCCAAATTGGGCCAAAGCCCCGACAAGGAGAAACTGGTATAGAAGGCGTGAGTCCGCGCATATATATATATATATATGTATACGGGTTGTTGTGCCTGTATGCCGGAAGGAAGGTTGCGTGTGGCTTGCTGTTGTCGTGGTGCTGTTCACTTACTTGAGGGATCTCCTGTCTTTGCGTCTGTTCCTGTTTGCCTTTTGCCTCCGAACGTTGTCACTGCGGCGGCGTGGTTGGTTTCGCGCCGCCGCGTTCTAATTTTATTTGTGTGTTTCACGTTGCTGTTGGTGGTGGTGATGGTGGTGGTGGTGGGGAGGTGAAGTGCGGGGCATGTTCATTCCAGCGGACCGCACGCCGCGTTGCAGCACCAGCGACCTCATCCTCCCATTTTTGTTCTCTTTTTTTTCCCCCTCCTTTCTCTGCCTTTGTCCACCGCGATGATGCACGAAATGTGCGTTCCAAACGGCGATGAGGGGACTTACGCCCTTCTCTCCACCCCACACCGTTGTTGCAGCGGAGGATGGCCGCCACCGAAGGCAACAAGCCAAAATAAAACAAAAAAAATGTATTTGATCCCAGCACCCATGAAACCCCCATCATGATGAGAACTCGGATTAGTGTTCAGCTACACAAGAGGAATGACCACGTGACTTTATCGAGTTCGAGAAATGTGCGAGCGATTACTGATGCACATCCAATGCGGACATATCCGTGTTGCGTCCCCTTCGCCCCCTCCGCATTCCGTTCCATTAGCCTCCGAAAGAGTCATTCCTCGTCTTTTTATTTTGCCAGATGGCGGGGTAATGTAGTTACGGCGGCAAGATGACTTTTTTTCTTTTTTGTTCTTGGTGTTGTTCAATTAGGTGCCCTTCCGTTCTCCCTCGTCCTCGTCCGTCTGCCTCTGCGTCGGTGATGATAAACACAATTTGCACGTCAGTTTGAGTGTGTTAATGATATGTCACGATTGTTTCGGCTACATCGTAGCTGCACTGAACGGAGCAAAACGCGATTTGTTCCTCCCTTTGCATCGCCGACCCTGTTGAGCAAACGCCAGGGCCATTTTCGCCGCTCCTGACACTCCCCTCTCTCCACTTCCATATCCATGTCCATGCAGAAGTAGACACACTTTTCCTCTTTGTCGGTGTGCATCAAGTGCCCAATTGTGTGCACTTCTGTGCGTGCATCGGTGGCGTGTGAGCTGTTGTTTGGATGTCTTGACTCTACTTTGGCGGTCTGTTTTTGTTTGCAATGGAATGAAACACTTTTTTTCCTCCTACTCCCCCCACACACCTTTTTTTTTCTCTTGTTCTCTCTTACTCTCTCTGCGGGGGGCTTGGGGGAGGTCTTGGCAGCGCATGAGTGAGGCAGCAACCCTCTTTGGAAGTGCAGCCAGTTTAGGTAGAAATGCCAAGGGATGGAAAGGGCCCTATGGAGCTGCTGAAGCAGCAGCGTTTGCCTGCATGGCAACCAATTCTCAAGCCTCCACATGTTGCGGCCGCCTTTTTCGTCCTGAGTGTTTTCTTCATCCCTGTGGGCGTGTTCATCACGCTCACTAATCAACGCGCAAGGGAATTCAACGTTCGCTATGATCATGTTCAGCGCTGTACGAGTAAGCACAACACAGGCGCTTTTACCTATACAGGTAACCACATGACGCTTCGCACTGGCTGCGTGACAACGGTCTCATTTGAGCTCACGGAGAGGCTAGCGGCCCCTGTCTACCTTTACTATGAGCTAACTAACTTCTATCAGAATCACAGGCGTTATTCAAAGTCGCGAAGTGATGCCCAATTGGCTGGCGACATCGTGAGAGATTTGCCCGACGCCTCACCGCTTGTCACGCCAGGGGAAATTAATGGTCTCTCTGGGACCCCTATACTATACATGGATAGTTCGAATTTGCACTACAAGGATTTTGTGTATGTTCCGGCCGGCCTTATTGCCTGGTCCATGTTTAATGACACGTTTACTCTTTACGCGGAGGCGAAGGAAGGCCGAGCTGCACGACGTCTCATCTGCAACGCAACAGATTTTTCCAAGGGAACAAATGTCCCTCTTAACGGCTCGGAGGCGCGAAATTTTTGTACCAAGAGGGGGATTGCGTGGGAGACGGACGTGGCGCTTAAGTTCAAGGCACCAAACTTGGACCCGCGTCATCGGTTTTGGACGGCCGCACGCGAGTTGTACGCTGGAACTGAGCCAACGACAGCCCTGTCCAACGACACCTTCTTCAACGAGGGGTGGTACGCAGGTGAACTGGGCCACGCGGTCCCTGTGACGACGGATGAGGATTTAATGGTGTGGATGCGCCCAGCCTCGTTGCCAACGTTCCGCAAGCTGCATCGTGTTATTCACACAGACCTTCCGCCTGGGAAGTACGTAATGGTGATTGGGGAGCACTTTGACGTCTCCTCTTTTGGTGGTACAAAGTCTTTTGTGTTGGCCACACTCTCTTGGTTGGGAGGGAGGAATGTCTGGCTGCAGGCATTGTACTTTTCAGTCGGTGGGTTTTCTGTGATTTTTGCCGTCGTGTTGCTGCTGGTTCACCGTTTTTCTGGCGACCGTGCCTCAAAGGCCATTGACACTTTGATCCAAAGTTGACCACCTCATTCCTCAGTGCTAGTGGGAGTGGAGGAAGAGGAAAAAAAAAGTGGAGGCACTTATATGCGTATACTCCCCTCTATCTCACCCCTTTTCTCTTTGCTTTTTTTCTTCTGCTTGGCTTTTTTTTGTTGTTGTCGTTGCTTCATCTTCAGTGCTTCGGACCACTGTGTTGAATGCTGTGCGAGAAATTATTATTATTATTATTTTACTGTTTCTCTCCTTTTCGCTTCTTCCGTAACGTCTGCGCTTCGGGAGGGAGACGGGGCGGTGTGCGTGGGCGTGCACGCCTCATAGCGGGGGGATATTCGCCACTCATGGAGCTTGATACCGCTAGCGATGGGGAGGTGTACGCCCGTGCGTTGCAAGAGGCGAGGTGGGAGGTCTTGCAGGGACTAAATGTGGAAAAAGACTGGCGGCAGATTCAAGAGCGACATCCATTTTTCCGCGATATTGTCATGGATGCTGATCGACAAGCAAAGCAGTTGGCGTCGGTGCTGGCAGCTACGGAGTTTTTTCTAAAGCGGTTGCTTTGGTGTTGCGAAAATGGACCAGCGCCCAGCTTTGTTGATCCGACAAAGTTGAAGCAGTGGCAGGAATCCCTTGCCGTGTTTATCTCACTCTGCGAAGCTTCCCCTGTCCCGACACAGGCACGGTGGGCGGCCGAGATGCGGCAACGCGCCAGTGAGACGCGCAGCTGCGGTGCCGTGAACGCGGACAGTGGTGAAGCCAACAATGACTGTAACTACAACAATAATGGAGGAATTGACCATAGCGATGAGGATGATGGTTCATTCGTAAATACTCGTTTAAAGGAGCTGGTGACGCAGTGTGCCGCCGTTGGGCGAATGCGGTGCCGTCAGCTCCGCGGGGAGGACGACATGTCTGTGAGGGAACGCCGTGCCGTCTCCGTCATGGAAGCCTTTGTAGCCCCACAGACGCTTGACTGGTGAGCCTGTGTACGACGACTTCCCGTGATGTTAATTCTACCGCCGGTGAGAAAGGGAGGGGGACATCTTGAAAGCGTCTGAGATGCTTTTTTTGTTTTGTTGTTGTTGGCCTCACCCTCTATGAATACCTGTAGTTTCGTGCTTCTTGTTCTCTAATATTACAATCCACACCTTGCCTTTGGAGGTCCCTTGTTTCTGCCTTCGAGTTCCCCCCTCAACGGCCCCATCCATTGCTATTTCTCTTCTGTTTCTCCTCACTCACGCCATGATCCCTGGCAAATAAATGATCTGCTGCACACTGGCAGCTTCCCACGAGAATAACTGGAAAAAGCGAATCAACAACAAAAGAAAACAAAAACGCAATACCTCAGCCACGCAATACAACAACAATGGTAACGAAAAAGTTTATTGACAACCCTGATACGGCCGTGGACACGGCAGTGACTGCGCTCTGCACGGCGCGGCCGGACCTGCAGGTCATTGAAAACACCCATGTGGTGGTGAAGCGCGAAATTGACCCAACCAAAGTCCTCCTTATCTCCGGAGGTGGTGCTGGACATGAACCTGCTCATGTGGGTTTTGTCGATTCTGGCTGGTTGAGTGCCGCTGTCTCTGGAGACGTTTTTGCATCGCCTCCCAGCATTCATGTAACCGCTGCTATTGATTACCTGCATGGTAAACAAGGTCCTAATGGTCCTGGAATCCTTGTTGTTGTCAAAAACTATCTTGGAGATATTTTGAACTTTCAGTTTGCTGTTCACGAGGCCCAAGAGAGAGGCATAAATGTGGAGATGGTGATGGCAGCTGATGATGCTTGTTTTGGCGTGCATGACGTCACCCGTCGCCGCGGAATTGCGGGAACAATCCTCCTGTACAAAATCCTTGGGGCTTCTGCCGTGAGGGGCGCCGACATGGCGGCATTGAAACAGCTTGCCGGTCGTATCTCAAGTGGAATGCGCTCTATTGGGGCGTCCCTTTCCTCGTGCTCGCTCCCTGGATCAGAACCATTGTCAGTGGTGCCAGACGGCTTCGTTGAAGTGGGACTCGGCATTCATGGCGAAAAGGGACTGTACCAGATGCCATTTAAAGGCGCAAAGGCGCTCGTTTCCCATCTGCTTGGCATCTTGCTTGCCGGTGGGGAAAAGCGTGACACCCACGCCCAAGGAGACACGAGCAAGGATTGGGCGGGAGCAAAAGTGGCACTTTTGGTTAATAATTTGGGTTCCACGACCGATATTGAAATGAAGATTCTCGCACGTTACGCCTTGGAGCAACTTCGGGAGGCCGGCATGAATGTGGTTGGTGTATCTGTAGGTAGATACATGACAGCGTTGGAGATGCATGGTTTTTCATTTACGCTGTTGCGGTTTTCTAACCACGATGATATTGCCTTCTTATTTGAGCAACAACAAGCATCACTTATGCCGTTCACCGTTCCACAGTTCTCCCTTGTCCCTGCCCCAGGCCCTCGCACTGCCCTGCAGTTGGCGCGGCAGGAACAATGTGGGACGCAGTGCCGTGGTGACTTGGGTCGAGCCCTTGAAGCCGTATTTCAAGTTTTGAAGGGCAGCGAAGAGTACTTGAATAAGCTTGATGCTGCGGTTGGTGACGGTGATATTGGAAGTGGAACAAAGCGTGCCGCTTTGGGGGCCTTGGAGCTTATCCCCCACCTTCCCTTGCAGACAAACGTGGGCAAATCGTTTGCCTTGCTTGCAAAGATGGTGGCTGATGCGTTTGGTGGATCCTCCGGACCATTGTATGGGGCCTTTCTACTGGCTGCTGGCGCTGCAGCCTCAGAGACCATGCGTGTGGATGGTGCGAGCAGCGTGGATGCTATCCGGGCGGGGTTGCGGGCTGGCAGCGCTAATATTCAGCGTATTGCACGCTCCAAGAAGGGTGAGCGGACGATGGTGGATGTTCTCGAGGCGCTGAACGAAAGTCCCAGAGTGAATGCCGCCACTTCCGTCCAAGAATTGGCTCGCGCCTGTGCCGAAGTGGCGAAGAGGGCCGCTGCAGAAACGGCGCTATTGCCCGCGAAGCACGGTCGCAGTCGCTACCTCCAGGGGAAGGAGGTGGGGCAACAGGACCCTGGCGCCGAGCTCGTTGTACTTTGGGTTGAGGCCGCGGCAAGCGCGCTTCTGCCCCGAGGCAACCTATGAGTCAAAGCAAATGATGCTGTGTATGTGCGTGTATGTGTGTAGGTGGGTGTGGGTGTGGGCATCCTTTTAATTACACGGTCGTTCTTTTTTTGTTTTTGTTTTTCTTGGACGTTGTTCACAGCCTCGTCCTGGGGTTTTGACTGCCCCCTCGCAAAAAGAGCTGAAACGCTAAGATCCGTAAAAAGGGGTGATTTTGGGTGTTTTGGGAGGAATGGAGGCGTTTTTGGGGCACTGGTGGAAATCAGAACTTTTCGTCGTGAGCTGCGTTTCACAGGTGGCTCTTTGTAAAAAGCAAAAGAAAGACGGTAATGAGTTCTTAGCTGTTTTCTTTTTTCTTCTTGATGTCAGGTATACAAATACTAATACATATATATATATATACTTATATATTTCGTTAGGGTGTGCTTCTGTGTTGCTTTCGAGAGCCTCTCTTGTCTCCCTTTTCCCCCCCTCTCTCTCCTCTAGGGCGGCGCGCCAAATGTACGGCGGCCTCTTTAGGAAGCGAGCGCGTGACGCCGATGCACCTGTACGCGGGAACGCCCCGAGCGGGGATGGAGGTGCGTCGGGCAAGCCCGCTGGCCTCGTCTCCCCCACACCGTCGCTCCGCACCGTGTACCACTATCCTTCGAGCCTGCCCTTCCCAACCGTGATGAACGCCGACTTTCCCTCCGAGTCGTACCGCTCTCGTAGCCAAGACGTGAAGGCGGCTATTCACTGGGGCCAGCGGAAGCTCCTACTCTCCGAGATACAGCTTCTCTCCTTGTATGCCCGACCGAATATACCCTATCACATTGTGTATGCTGGGTCGGCCCCCGGCACGCACCTTGCCTTCCTCGATGATATGTTCCAGAGTCGACACACCTGGGAACTCGTGGATCCGGGTCGATTTGATCGATCTGTGCTGGGGGGGCGAGCAAATTTTCTTCTTCGGAATGAGTTTTTCACAAACGCCACAGCCTATGGCATTAATGCACGCCGTCTTTCGGAGGTGCTCCCTGGGTTGGGACTTGTTTACCGCGATGTTGCCCTCGGTCGCGCCAGCGTAGCGAAGAAGGAACTTCACGAACAGCTTCAGAGCATCGTTGGAACGATTGATGTGGCCCGTGGCACGGAAGATATTCCCTCCATGTACGAGCCACGGCTGGATATCCCCTTTGGCTTTGAGATCCTCTGCTACGTTGGGATGGAGCGAAGCAAACCACTTATGTTTGTCTCCGATATTCGATCTGGGAGCGTCAGTCTTCCCAACTTTGAGGATCACGTGGCTGAGAATATGCGGGCACAAGAGTGCTGGTGTCAAATTCTTCAGGGTGAGCACAGCATGCTGAAGTTTAGGTTACCCTACACTCACAAAAAAAGTGGATATGGTGGCAAGGAACGCAAAGTCAAGTCCAGTTTAATTGGAGCAGATGGCACGGTGAAGTACCTGCGCGGAGACATTCTTCTTCCCATTTGGACCCGCCCGACAAGCACAGAAGGACGTTTGGTGGTCCCACAGGGAGCGCATCAGGTGCCGTACAACGTCACGCAAGTGGAGAATCAATTTTTTTTCTTCAACGCACATGTGCGGGAGGCGGTGCATTTTAACCACATTCTTTTGCCCGACGAAGACCTTGACCACCACTACGATGCGGCCGCGGAGATCAACTGCCTCCTTGCATATCTGAAGTTCTTGCATCCAGAAACGAGGGAGGCTGCCGTGGATGTGCTGCGTCGCGAGGTAAAACACATCTCAGCATCAATCACGGCGCACCTGCGCGTCAAGTTCCAGGATGTGATTCGTCGCCGAGAGTACCTCGTCTTGAAGCAGGCGCGTAGTGGGCAAGTCGAGGATGAGGGCGACGAGAGTGACGATGAGGCGGTGGGCGCTGGTGGCCCGCACTGTGGTGAGGCGCAGCCTCGCTCTTCATGGGAGGCGGTTGCGAAGAAGATAATACAGGCGGCCGCAAAGGAGCGGGCGCGTGTGGTGTGGATGCGAAACGTCGAAGAGACAGAGGCGGATGTGCGCAGTGGTGTTTGGGTGACGACAAACATGCGGCAGTGATTTGTCCGAGGCGGCGTCCCTACCCGCGTCTTGGAGGTGTGTGGCACACGCGTGCAGGTGCGCGGCGGCCTAGGCGGAGCAATCAACGCAATGAAGTAAGTCGTTAGGGGACTCGCCCACGACGTCTCTTCCCTCTCCCCTTATTTTTATTTTTTTGTTGTTGTTGTCATCTCTTCATGTGTCTCCTTGAGATGTGGACCGAATGCAAGCGGGTTCTCTTTGACTTTCGCCGCTCTTGCCTCCTTTTTGCCCGCCGCATTGCCGACGGCCACGACACGTGGAAGAGGAAAAAAAAGCGAAAGGAAGCTCTGCCAATTGCAGCAAGCCAAAAACACAAAGAAAAAAGAAAAAGAAGAGAGTCGAAAATAACCGCTACCCCCATCGCACACGGAACACGGCATTAAACGAAAGAAAACAAAAAAAAATGGCAACTGCGCTCCGTCATGGCCGTAAGGGGGGAAAGGTGAGTTCATCTCCAGCGGTTGCCCCACGAGCTGTCACACCCGGAAGCGCCATTTCTCCTCTCTCACTGCAGGCATTTGGAGAAGGCACCACGATTATCAGTGACCTCAACGCAGCGCATCCGTTTGACCCGGATGCAATCGCGAATGTTGCCAGAAAAACACCAACCAATGAGGCCAATGTTCTTCAGTTTGACATGGAAGCCATTCAACACATCGGCAAGGGAGTGATGGTTGGACGGACGAAGCAGGTGCGAACCACCACCCGTCAGTCACAGGTTAGCACTGCAGAAGCGTTATTGAAATTACGAGGTGCCGCTAAGGAGCAAAAAAAAACGTCGGCATTCCCCGTGCATCCGCTGGACCTTGGAAAGCTTAGAGACCACAATGTCGTGGTGGTGCAGAAGCCGCAAGACGCCTTAACCTTTGCTGTGGCCCTTGCTACGTCGGCACCGCAGGCAAAGGTGCTGGTGGTGGTCCCCAGATATTATGAGGTGGGTCTCGCTAAGCAGCGTTTGGGTTCTTTGGTCGTCGATGGTAAAACGGCTGCGACGGGGGAATTTTGCGGGCAAATGTTTGAGGGTAATCAGGCAGCACCGTTATGGGTTACGAGCGCCGAAATGGCGCTGCTTTATCTGACGAAACTGCAAAGTATGGCTCCCTTTTCACACTTGGTGGTGCCGGCGTCATATGACACAACCCAATTGCTTTCATGTTTTCTCAGGGCGTTTGGCCAATGGCTGCTGGGTGGAGCGGATTTGCCTTGGTCTTTGAGACTTGTTCTGACACACGAGCGAAGCGATCGCAACGAAATTAAAGGCATCCTTCAAGGCCTTAAAGTCACCTTTATTGAAAGTACCGTGGAACATGTCACGGAGTTCTCGTACGCTGAAACGTGTGCTTTGGTTGAGAAGGAAATGATGGAAATGGAACGGGATGGGTCTGGCGTCTTCCCGCCGCCCACGAAAGGGCTCATTGACCACACGGCAAAAGTTGCAGTCAGCGTCGTGCAATGCATTATTAAAGAAAGCGAGCAGCGACAGGTTATCGTCGTCTTCACAGCTGAGGCGCGCGAGGTTTTGATTGCACTTCAAGAAGCTCAGCTGGAGGATTGTGTCATTTGCTCGGGATTTCAAGGCAGCGAAGAGGCAACAGACACGAAACACTGCGTGTGTGTGGTGAACCGTGTGCGTCATGCTCTGGATGTGGTTGATGAGTGTACCATGGTGGTCGACACCGGCACCATTCGTCGCCCAGGAGCGCAGTACAAGTCTGAGAGTTTCATGGCAGCCAGCAAAACGGAATGGGAGACAAAAGTGGAACGTGCAGGACGTTTATCTCTGCTCGAGAGGAAACGGGGATGTTGCTACTTTGCTTTGTACCCCGACGAAGTTTCGGCAGAGTTCAGTGAGGATGCCACCTCCCTCCCTGATGTCTTCGACGTGGAGGATGCGTTTCTTCACTGTGCTCGACTGAATCTTTCTATGAGCGATGTGGCAACTCTCCTCCCGCGTATTCCTGCCGAAACTGTTGAACAAGTATTGCACAATATTTCAGAAAAATGCATGATATCCAGTCCACAGGCTCTTGCCATTACCTTTTTGGGAGAAATGGCTTCCCGCCTTCCTGTGGATTTAGACATCGCGTCCTTTATTATAGCTGGTTGTAATTTTGGTCTTGGTGAGGCCGCCCTGGCCATTGGCAGTGTGGCGGCGGTACCTTTCCGTTCTATCACCCCGTTGACGTACAGCAACGCCCCTTGGGGTGAGTCGACAAGGCGGAGCCGCGAAAAATACGCCGGGGAGATTGCGCGTCACAGTGACCTTCTGGCTGACACCCTTGTCTTTATGGCGTGGCTAAAGCTGCGTGCCCGGGGAGAGTCTACTGCGGAGTTCCTCAGAGAAACCCTTCTGCAAGAGTTCAGACTTGTCAATATTGAGAGATTGATGAAGTACATGCGAGAACAGATGACAAATTATGTGTTCCTGGACCGCTCTAATACAACGGAGCTCTGGGAAGAGTTGGCCGCCTGTGTAGAGGAAAACTCGACCATCTTTCTACTTCTGGAGTCCGTGGCCTTGGCACGACGGGCTGCCTTTGTTCGCGACGCAGGACACCTCAACGAAAAGGATCGTTACGCCTCCATGGCCTTTGTTCGCACCTCCAAACGATTGGTGCCGCACAGTTACATTCCCACATCTATCGAATGGGGCACGGGTAGGACTATGGTCCCGGTGATTATTAAAAACAGCACCAATATTCTTGCCGGGTTGTTCTCCCTCATTCACACTCCATATTTTTTCGCCTCACTTTTGCTTCTCTATCCATCTGTGGAGTACTCGAGGCCTGCGATGAGGGACAATGGGAATGTCGTCTACTTTGGCGTTTCATGTAACCGGCAGATGAAACGCCTCATTGTTTCTATTGAAGACGCCACACGAATTCTTGATTTCCGGGAGAAGGTAAATCTGGCGCTGGGTTGTATGCAGGCACTTCGTACCGCTGCTCATCCCATTTCGAGGACAAAGTTCTTCCTTGCTCTGAAAAAGCATGATCGTCTCTTTGACGTTGAACGGCTGCAAAAGGGAATTCGCTCGCAGCTGCTTGATCTGGTGACGGCGCTAAAAGTCACGGAGCATCAAGGGAGCTTCGAGACCTACGCCACGCACTGCACAGCCCCAAAGGAGTTGCTCCCTACTACTGACACACCTGCACTGGATTTGGTGGTGCTTCGTCGGTTTGTGGACGGCACGCTGTGGGAACGTTTGCCCACCCCAAGCTCTGCAATGATGCCAAGCGCCACTGCTTTTGGCGACACGCCGCCGACGTTGGCTGCCGCCCCCGTGATCGCTGGAGACAACGACGGCTACGACGACGATGACGATGTGGAGATAATTCAGGATTCGTACTTTATGCTCCACGGCCCACTCGTTGAGGACGAGGATGATGACTAAGACCGCAGACGACGCATTGTGGTTGTTGCTGCCGCCGTTGGCTTGTTCTTTTTTTTTTTTTTGCATTATTTAAAAAGCGCTGGGAGTAAAGTGCACAGGCACACTCGTACACGCGCGGGGAAAGGAACGGAAACAAAAAAAAGATATATATATATATATATAATACGATTTGAAGCGGCGGGCGACACACACGCACACAAACTAAAAAAGCAAGAAAAAAAAACGACAGGAGAAACGAAGGGCAGCGTTGATGGAGCGAACCGCAACTACCCCCAATGGGGCATTTCACGTGGAGCTTCCAGGAATTATGAACTTGCAAGGCGGCCTCTGCGCAAATGTCTTGGCGGGGCCGGGGTGTTACAATATATTTTTGCCATTTTCTCCACCCTGCTTGAATTGCCCTTTAGGACTGAAGAGGAGCCACTCATAAGTGAAAAGAAAAGAAAAAAAGTCGCAGTTGGTGGTGGTGGGAGTAGAAATGGGAAGTAAGAACTGTGTTCTTTGCCCTGCGTATTCCATACGGAAGCCACAGCAGCAGCCTGCCTGTTATACACCATTTATGCTTAAATTTATTTGCACTTTCTGTGGCCTACTCTTCTTCTTAGTGTGGAAGTGGGAAGAGGGCCAGGCGAACAGAGGGTGGGACAGACAAAAAAAGAAAAAAAGAGAGAATATACACGCGGCTAACAACACAAAGAAACAACAACAAAAAAAAAACGAGGCAGCTTCTCGCATGACTATTGGAGGATCTGGGTGTGGTTTTGTTTATAGCTTCTCTCTGCAATTTACGGTTGTGGTCTTTCCTTCGGGTGGGGTAGGGGGGGGGGGGTTCCGCGATAGCTTGTTTCATTTTAGTTTTGGATTGCTTGTCCGTCAGCGTGGCTCCTATGGCTGATGTCGTTGTTAGTCGTTTGTGTATCGGTAGTGAGGTATTGTTTGTCGCGGCAGAGGCGCACCGTGGCAGTTGCTTTTGACCGCCACGACGAAGCATCTTTTGCTTTTGTTTTTGTTTTACTTTTTTCTTTCTTTTACTTTCTTCCATTTCTTTGGCGTCTTCCCTGTTCTCCTGTTTGTATTGAGCTCCTGTGCCCCCCGACAAGGTGCTGGCAGCGCGAGAGGAAGTCGGTAAGGTGGCGTGTCAGTTGCTTTCCGCGTCGAAAGGCGGTTGTTGTACTCGACTATGGAGGCATTAGGCGACGCCGCAGTTGACGCTCTTATTCGCGAGGAAGAGGAGCGGGTGCGGCAGTTCAAGCTTTTCCACTGCACAGAAGAGGAGCGGCGGCGTGAATATGGCGCGGTTCCGAAGCCTCTGCCGTCGGCGCCACCACCGTTGCCGCCGAGGGCGAAGCTCACAGGGCCTCCTTTGGAAATGCTTTCAGAAGACGCTGAAGAGGCACTGGTGCATGAATATAAACGGTATCGTCGCGGCAACGACGAGGACGACACGGCCGTGACCCTTCAAAGCAAACGCCCTCCTCCACCGAATTATGATGGACCCCTGCTAACACTCACAACCCGTGGTCCGTACACACGCGTTGAGGTGCTGGCGGCTCGCCCGCCGATGCGACCTCGTTTTGAAGGGAAAAAAGTGTCGGAGAAAAACCGTAGTCGGTATTACCCGCGCCCACTACGAGAGAAACCCAACGAGGGCAGCATCGCAAAGCAAGGGGATTCACTGCGGCGGTGGAAGTACAGTATGGGCCTTTTGGGCGCGTGATTATGTTTAATGCGGCACTATCGAGAGTGATAGAAAAACTATACATCATATATACGCGTATATGTTGTGTGTAAAAAAAGGGGGGGGGGGAAAAAAAAAGTGTCACACATTTTGGCCGTGTATTTTTTTTTCTTTTTTTTTCCCCCTCTTTTTTTTTTTTTTGCTTTGTAAATATTGTTTTTGTTATTTTGGAAAGATGTTTACTGCTTGTCAATGAGGTGCTCTTTATTCTCATTACTATTGTTATTATTGTAAATATCATTTGGGGAAGATGGGGTTTAGTACCTTTTTTTTTTGTTATTGCCGCCTGCTTGTTTATTTAATTTACTGCGTGGGGCAGCATTTGATGCGCCTTGTCTTTTTTTTTGTCGTCTCTGCGCGCGTGCTTGTTTAAACTGTTGTTGATAGGATTACGAAAAGGGCGCCCGCCACGATGCGCGAGTACGGCACGGCGATGCGGCTGCAGCAGCACCACACAAGGACAGCCGCGGAGTTTGGTGTACCGGAGCCTCTTTTGACGGAGTTGGCAAGGGGGATTCCCATCATCTGCCAGGCAAGCACATCAGTTGCACATTTTGCCCCCAAAGCGGTCAGTGTTGTGTGTCGTGAAATGGAGAATATGATGCGCGCCAACTCGCCGGAGCACCGAGTGCGGTGTGTCTCGCAGATAACGGGCGCCTTGCGGGAGAGCGCTTTTATGTCGCAGAGAAATACCACGGAGTGCAAAGTGTTTCTGCAGAAACTAGCGGCGCATTTTGTCTTCCCGCTGATGCTGCATTGTGCGGTGCGCTATCTTCACCGTGCCCTCGCGACGTTGATCCGCACCGTCTACGTGATCGACGAAGAACTTGAGAAGTGTTTCTGTGAGGCATTCACCGCCTCGCATATTCGCTGCTGGGAGTCGGAGGCGTCGGGGCGACGATCCACCATCTTGGGCGACGATGCGGCTACCACGCTGGAAACCGCGAGCGCCCTGCTGCGGCTGAAGGATTCAGTTATGAGTTGGGTAAACTGTATTGATAGCACCGCCGTGGTGGCCATGCCTCTTTTTCCACACGTGTTTGCAAGCACCTTTCTCGAGGTTCTTCCACTTCTCGGGGAGACGCTGCAGTGGATGGTGGCGAACGCCTCTTTGGGGTGCCGTGACGTGGACTTGGGGAACGTCAACAGCGGGACACTGTTGGGTGAAGATTTGGCGTATGTGCGGTATGGGATTCGCGTCGTCGCAACGTACACGCACAAATTCCTGTATTTGCTCGCAGATGTGTGGATTAAAGGGGATGCATCCACCAATCGCCAGTTGGAAGAGGACGTGGAAAAGCTATTGTCGTCTGCGTTGGCAATGCTTTCTTCTTCGGTCTTTCCAAAGGACGTCTTAAACGGTGCCGGACTGCTCGTGTCGTCTCTCTTGACCTTGCGGACCTGTGACCCATGGCTGCTGCTTGAGGTCAGTCGCCTCTGTGGTGATTTTGCCGCACCCGCCGACGCTGCGGCGAAGGCACAGGCGACGCGGGTTGCCTTTTTCTCGGCGTCAGTGAAGCGAAATGACGTACGAGAGTGGGTAAAACTCTTCTGCGCCGATGCCCCGCATCAAAAACTCCGTGAGCACCCCCAAGCACAAGCAGCATTACGGAATATTCTTGCCGCCTTCACCAACAATGGCCGTTTTGCGTTGCTGCGGGGTCTGCTGGCGCATTTATCCGCACCTGTGCACGGTGACCTTGACGCCCTTGGCATTCTACTGAAGCCAATCACGCCACTTGCAGAGGCGGGATCCTCAACGGAGGCCGCGATGGTGGTGGTGCACGACATCATTATGCCGGCGGCCGAGGCTTATTGCTCGTCTCTTCAGGCGCCTGACACGCGGTTCATGGCTATTCAAACCATTGACAGCGTCGTGCGACACATTTCCGCTGTTCTTACTTGCATTGCCGAGGTGTTAGACCCCGCATCGAGTGAAACTCAAAGCAGGAGAGGCAAGGTAGAAAAAAAAAATGTGAAGTGCTCAAACGAAGGAAATGCATGGACCGAGTCTCAAAAGCAGGAACTTTTTGTCGTGTGTGCTTGCAACCCAAAACTCACCAAGACTCTGAACCACGCAACGGGGGTTATTGTGGGGATGTGGGATGATAACACCCTGCAGGTGACGGGTCCATTGTACGATGCGTACAGTGAGATTCTCACTGTTCATGCCTCCCTTAGGCGCTGTGTGGCTTTATGCGCTTCTACCGGTGCAACTCAGGTCATGGATGAGGGAATTTTCGACACCGCCGATGCATTGCGACGTGTTCTATGCATACCCAACGAACGACGTGGGAAGTATCACGCATTGTTAGGTATACTCAGTGTTCTTCCCGTGCCGCAGTTTCTCTCCGTACTGAGGCAGCATTTTTCACAGGACACCGCTCCCATTTCTGTGGTTGAAGGTCTTTGTTGTTTCAGCAGAATGCTTCTTTCGGGTGCTTGTAATCACAAGATTGGCAACATTGCTGGTGATGTCTTTGCCAAGGCAGCAATACGTATTCGACAGTTAGACGACACCGACGCCAGTAAAGAGGCTCTCTTTATGCAAGGCATCATTGCTCCCGTGGTGAAATCGCTCTTGGTTCCTGGCTACGCGACACCCCTGCATATTACTGAGGCTTTTTCTGTCTCAAGCATCGTTACGCACATGATCATGCCGTGTCTCAAGTCCGAGGAGGTGTTTCTTCCCGTCTTGCTTTCGCAGCTGACACGGGCGCAGGCGGGTGACAGTAACTCCTCTCGGGTAAATCAAAGTATTGTGGAGACTATTCATCGCGCCCGTGTCGTGGGAAAAGACGTCGCTGCGTACCTTCACCCGAAGAGCCAAACATTCCAATCCATTTTGGCGACGCTGCAGGTGCAGGAAACTGAGCTTCGCTACACGGCGCTGCGTCTCTGTGTGTTGAGTACGAAGAAGGCCGAGGCCGTGGAAGTCTGGCAATGCCGCATGATGGAGTGGTATCTCAGTACCAATATGTACTGTGGTGGGGACACCGTGGCGATGCGCAACCTCTTGGAGGTGTTTAAAAAGTGGATGCGACGGCTGGTGGATAGCTACGTAAACCAAAGCACCAAGCTCAGGAAGGGCCTGGAGGGAAGTGAGACGGCTGAGCAGTACAAGCTGTTGGTGGTGGATCACTGCGTACGGGTGGTTGGCTGTCTGGTTCCACAGATTGGTGAGAACGCAAGGTGGTCTTGTGGCCTTTCCCTCGAGCGACGTGTAGCGGCCATGGCCACGTATTTGTGTCTGCTTCGAAACGCACTTGAGTTTCTTTCTCTGGAGCAGGCGGGGCAGCTTAAAGAGCAGCTGTTTCCCGCAGTGCTCATTGAGGGCCTCTTGGAGTGTCTCTCAGAGGGTTGGGAAAAGGCACGCTCGTCCGCCTACAATCTACTTCTGCTGTACTGCAGTCACGCCCCTGACGCAATCTTTTCCCAGCGTTACCTTGGCGATCCACGGGCAGCAGGCAACGCCAAGGCGGAAATGCTGCGAGCGAGAACGTTTCGAAAGGCAGAGGGGGAAGTGCTTCGTTACGTTTTAGCGACCCAGTTCACACCAGCGGCGAGGCGAGCGGCGGCCGAGACTCCGTTGCAGGAGTGCGAAAAGCGACTGAGAGACGTGGAGTCTGAGATGAGGCTGCTGAAGGAAAGTATTTCAGAACTGCGTGGGTTGGGAATAAAAGGTGCCTGTGAATTTGTGCAGCTTCGCCCCCTACACGGCTCACTTTCATTATGTGCGACTTTACTTTCCAATGCATGGGAGGTTAAACGTGACGTTCCGCACTTTTACGAGGCATGTAACACGTTATTGCTTTGCTGCAGCGCAGTCCTGCAAACCTGCTCCTCTCTTGTTGGCGACGAGTCTGTGAACTCCGCCGAGCATAGTGAGGTGGAGGTGGATTGCCGTGGGCACGTCTTTGACAAGGATGGTGCCTGCACTGAGGGTAAAATGCGTACCGTGGTGAACAACACCTGGCTAAGTATTCGCACGGGCGCCTCGGCCGTGGAGCGTGTGCTGAACCTTGTAAAGGTGGAAGATATTTCTCTCTTGGTACTTCGCGAGGTATGCTACGTCCTTATTGAATCACTGCTTCGCACGAAGCACAACGGCGTGATGCGGAAGGTGCGGCAAGCACTTAAAACTGTGGCTGCGGCTCTCCTTCGCTCACGTGATGTCGCGTTTCACTCACTCCCTGGGGAAATGCTTGACTTTTTATTGGGCCCAGACGGCGTCACGTCAACGAATATTGCGCGGATGTTGCGTCGAAGTCAGGGCCTACCACACGCCATATTGGCGGTCCTAGAGGCTGAGGACCCCGCTGTTCCCGTCGTTCTCTTTCCAAAGGCGATGAAGCTGCTGCTGCGGGTGGCGACAGGGGCGCGCTTTGGCAGTGGTGGTGCCCAGTCGCATTTGGCTATTGATGAGTGTCGTAGTCAGCGTTCGAATGCGTTAAACGTTCTTAAGTTTATTTTTGAAAATAAAACGTTTGCCTCACGTTCCGTGGCGGATTTGGAAGAGGCGTTTTGGATTGCCGCCGCGGGCTTTGATGACTCCAGCTGGGGAATACGCAACAGCTCCCTGATGCTCTTCTCGGCTGTGCTCCCTCGCTTTGTGGGGGAGCATCCCTCCACCGGTGGCGTGGGTGTGAATACCTCACTGCACGACATCGCCGTTCGGGCGCCCCGTGGCTTGTCCCTCGCATACGATGAGTTGGCGAAGAGCTGTACGGCGCCTGTGCCCAGCCTCGGTGTGTTTCCGCTGTTGCAAATGCTCTCCATGCTTACCCCCGACCCCCCACATATTTTGGCGAACGCAACCATATTTAAAACACCCACAGGCACGGAGATGGACTCCGCTTGTATTATCATGGCTGCTTTGCGCTGTGGCTCATCTAAGCATCTTATGGTTCGTGCCGCAAGTGCCGTTGCGCTAACCTCACTCGTGCCTCCCGTCCACTTGAAGGAGTTTCTTGCGGAGAGGTTGTCTACGATGTCCCAAGCAAAAACTGGCCTTAACGCAATACACGGTTCATTACTTCATTTGCACCAGTTCCACACGTTTTACGTGGGGACGCTACGCCGCAATATGAGGACGAAGGCGATGAATAGCAACGCGACGGCCACTGTTGCTTCACTTGTCAATCGATTGCTGTTAGAGGGCCTTGCTGCGGATTCTGTCACTGTCTCGACTTCAAGGCTGTACCAAGCCTGTGTGCACTGCCCCACCGTCGCTGTGGCCTTTTTGAGTTTGGCCTCTGACGTTCTTCACTACACTCAGAGTTTTGGTTTGTGCGAGGAGAATCCCGCTGCCGTCATTAGTTTGATGCGCTTTGGAGTGACTGTGGTGTACGGAACAGTGTGTGCGCCCACGCGGTCGTTTGAGTTGGCGCGACACGATCACGCTGCGGTGAGGGAATACGGCGCACTTTTTGCCCTCCTTGTAGTTCGACTTCTCGCACTCTCGGGCGAGGACGAGGGGAGGCAGGAGACTTCACAGAAACGAGGCAACTTAACCTTTTTAAAAGAAAATGCTCAATTGTGGGATGTCCTCTCCCATGTCTTTGCTAGCAAGAGTGGGGAATTTCTCACATCCTACGTTATGGACCACGTAAGCCACTATACGATGGAGCAGCGGTGGCCGCGCGAAGAGTCGGAAAAAACTATGCGAAAGTTTACATTGTGTCTTCATTCCGATGTCGTACATGCGGCGTTGCGGATGTTGGTGGAGGAGCTTTCGGAGGAACCTTCACTACAGAGATTGCCATGCACGCGGGTTCAGCACATGAAGGCGCATCTAGAGTACCTCGTATTGCTCGGCAACAATGATGAGCTACGGTCTGGGAAATGTGAGGCGTTGTGCAATGCGGTGGAGGAGCACCTGCTTCGCAGGATGGACCCCCAATCACAGCGACCGTTGCAGAGCACTGAGGTGCAAAGTTGGGCCATTCGTTTCCTTAGTCGTTGCTGTGTGCGCCACTGTGCTTCCAGTGCGACCTTTTTGAGCATCCTTGAATACTACTCCCGTCCCTTCTTTAATGTGCAGAACCGTGCCGCAGTCGTCGCCGCCCTGAAGGAAGGGCTCTTGTGCCTCCACAAAGACGCTTCTGCGACTGCCGTGAAGCATAGGCTTGCACTCTTGGTGCTTCTCCTTCGTCTGCTTCTTGACGACGCGTACGACGTTCGTGTGGAGGCTTGCCGTGTGGTTTCGCAACTCACCTCACCGGACCATCTTCTACTGGATCACATGACCTGCGTACTCTCTCTCTTGATTCATATCCGGCAACACGGCGGGCACCGGGTTCTTGGCGTCGAGGTGGTGCGGCAGTACCTGCTGGGCGAGGATGCCACACGCCTTCACGCCCTCGGTCGCGACGACGACGAGGATAATAAAAACGAGGATGATGATGCGGATGGCACGGACTCGGAAGAGAGTGACGTTCTCTTTGAAAAGGAGGCGGAGAACATGTTTGCGGAGAACTCACTCTTGGCGTACCTTGTGGGGGCCATCACGCAGGAGAAGAGGGCCGACACCCCCACCTTCGGCGTGTTCGACGAGTTGCTGCGTGTGGCCGAGCAGCGGGGCAGTGCGGCGTTCGCGTACGCCACACTGTTTGCCGACGACCCGTAGAGGGGGCGTGGTGGGGCAATGGACCGCAAATATGTTTGGGGGAAAAAAAGAACGAAAAAACGACGGGCATCCAAGGCAATAAACGAGATGGTAAGGGTTATTGCGTTTTAAACAAACAAAGAAGGAATGAAAGAAAGAGGGAAGGGACACGACAAAAAAAAAACTAGAGGGGCGGCGGCAATAAAGTTGAAACATAATAATTTTTGTTCTTACAGTTGGTGCTGCTTCCTCGCCCCAACCCTCTCTCTCTCTCTTTTTGTTTTTGTATTTGTGCGGTGTGCCT